TTTTTTTTTTCCCCTCCGGGGGGAGGGATTTTGCCCCCCCGGGGACCGGGGTTTTCCCCTTTTTGCCCCCCACACGGGGGTTTGGGTTTTTTTTTTTGGAAATTTTTGGGGGGGGGGCCCCCCCCCCCCCCCCCCCCCCCGCGGCACGCATGTACCCCCGAGCACTAAAATACAGCCAGAGAGGGTCACTTTGGCCCTGAGCAATACGACTCTGGTTGGAAATGTCGGGCCCGTTTGTGATGTCCACGCGTGTGTCTGAATGGATGGTCCTTAGTTTTTCAAGCAGGGTGGCACCTGTACCAACAACTGAAGACGTACTTCTTGGCCAGAGGGAAACACGTTTTTTGGGATAGTATGGTCAAAACGTGGGCAATCTTTTTGTACTGGTTTCAGTATGGGCGCGCCGTTGTACTGGTTTCAGTGTGGGGGATCCAAGTATACTGATTTTAGTACGGGATATCGGAGTGTATAGGGTTTAGTATGGGTTCCACATTCACCTGGTGTGTTTTCGCGTGACGCACGTCTTACCCGCAACCAGCAGCCAGGAGGAGTTAAGATACGTGCTTGTTGCCATTCATCGCCAAACTGTCGGTGCGATTTTCATTATTTGAGTTCAAGCCTTGCTGAACAATCCTTCTCTCTTGGTTTGTACTTGTCAACCCGTTTATTGTTTTTTGCAGTCGTACGAAGGAGTGGCCACGTCCAAGGGACAATGCTCCGTCGGCCCCTCCGCCTCCCCCGCCTCTGCTCCGTTTCACACGGACGGGCCGGGAGCCGAAGCTGCCCCAGCGTTTACTCCCCCTTCCGTCTTGCCCACCGGCAAGGAGAACGTGACGCCTGCTGCGGAGTCGGGGCGCCACCAGGCCATGCAGCAGCAGCAGCAGCCGCCGCCGCCGCAGACGCATCTGTTTACGGTTACGGTGGGGAGCAAGCCGTCTGACGCGGATGCTTGGCTGCCGGGGGTTACCGCCGTCGTCTCACTGCTGCGCATCCTGGGAAGGGTGGTGAGTTGCCGTTGCCGTTGCTGTTGCTTTTTTTTTGTCAGAAGTGAATGCAATCGCAGAACAACTATTGTACCCGTTCGAGACAATACCACGGCAGTCAAAGGAGGGGATGTGTTTTAAGTCTTCGCAGTGAGTGATGGGGGGGGCGTGAGATACTGGGGCGTATTTTTGAGTTCTACTATTGATGCCTAACATTGAGGTATTGTCACTTATGCCAGCTGGTGCTATTAATAGTCACAAAACATCTGTATTTGGCATGCATGATGTTTTCAAAACATCTCCTGTGGCTCTCTATGGGATGAGCGACAACGTTGTCGGTTCATCGCTCTTGATGGCTCTTTTGCAGCCCTGGTCGCTGTGGTTGCCGTTGTGAAGCGGTCTTTTTCATGTCGCTGCAGCGGCTGCTTCCGGTAGCCCAAGTAAACAGAGCTCATCTCTACAGTGTGAGAGGACGGGAAAATACTCGATGGAGCTGTACCTTTCTGCCCTCGTCTCGAGTGTTGCCCCGAAGCATGCATCCACCGTAGTGCGGTAATTGGCTTGTTCTCACCCCCATCCCACCATCTGCCGTGCCCCTCACTCTTGTCAACATAGCGAAATCTGGATGATTTGGCTCATCATGCCCCGAAACACGCAAGCACGGTAGTGCGGTCAATGGTTTGTTCTCACCCCCCATATCCCACCATGTACCGTGCCCCCTCGTTCTGCCAACATCACAAAAACGCGATGGATGGTGTCTGAATGCACAGACCTCCCGACACGGGACTGCGCAACGGTCCATGCTCGCACCCCGCGCGGCAGCGGTGGGCATCTCCAACTCCCCCATGCTAGAGCCCCACAGAGGGATGACACAATCCGTGTCCCCTACCCGATCCTTCCGGTCCGCCTCTGCTAGTAACGCCGACGCCGGTGATGCTACCGCTAGTGGCACTACCGTCAAGAACCACTCGTCCATGGCGTCGTTTGCGGACGGCGGGGGGGCGTTCGACCCCATCCCCGAGGTCTCGATGGCCGTTCGGGCGATGAACGTCGGGCAGGGGATGCCCGTCGTACGGCGGCACTCGTACACGATCGGGGGAAAGCCTAGGTGCGTGAAGCTGCTGCTGTTTTTTTTGTTTTGTGCTGCTGCTGCTGCTGCTGCTGCGTGATTTTTGGTCTTGTGCAAGATTGTTTGGGAGTTTCTCGAACGGATTCGTCTACCTGTGCCTGGTGTTGTTGTTGCCTCTGCTGCTGTTGTTGGTCTTTTTTTATCGCAACACGCCGTGCGGTGCCCGTTACCCCGGCATGGCGTTCAACTTCTCGCATTGTCCCTCGCTTTCATTGCTTCGTCGGTTTATCATCTCTCGGCCTCTGAACTCGCCGCTCCTCCGCTCCGCCCCCGTCTCTACCGCACGCGCTCTGGTCGATGATGGCCCTCCATCACCGGCTGGTGCTTGCTCGCCTTTGGCTGCGCCCCCGCCGCCGGCTGCTGCTGATCGGGAATCGACCTGACAGGATTTCGCTCTCATTGGCCGAGTTCCTTCAGTCGGTAGCGCAGCCGGAATCGGAGCCGCCGAGCTTCTGAGTACTCTTTATCTAAGTATGATGTGGCCTGATCCGACCCCATCGATCAGGGTGGAGTTGTCCAACTATCCCACGACAACCAAAGCCGCTCGCCCCCCGGTGGTCTAGTTGGTATCCTCGAAACCTTCTAGAGGTAAGGTCAGGGGTTCGAATCCCGGCGTAAGCGAGCTTTTCTTGCAAAGTGAGTTTTTTCTCTCGCTTCCGCTTCTGGCCCAGTGAAAAGCGCTAGTTCGTGTGTACACAGAGGGAAGAGAGTGCTGAACTCTTCTCGCATTAAAAATCGAAGGCAAGGTACCGCAGGAGGGGAGGGTAGAGAGGGTCTCTTCTGTGTGACCACGGGTTGGAGTAAAACGGCACTAGAGCTGTGAGCGCTGATTTGAAGTGAAGACAAAAAAAAAAAGAAAAAAGTCCGCGGAGTTTTTTTTTTGTAGTTTCAGCCAGGAACACGGTATAGTAGCCGGCGACATGCTCAACCTGTGGCTTTGGTATGGTGGAGTCAGGATTGATAGGGGCGGTTGCCGTGCTTGACGTATTCCAAGTTGTCAGCGGCCGGGTGTCTACTAGGAAATCTACGGCCGAAATTGTAGACTTTCCTTGATGTTTGTTGGCCCAGATGCGGGGTGTTGAAGGTCAAGATCGAATCGCAATATACAATGTATTCATTCACGAGTGGTGGTCGACTTGTTGTGTCCGCGAGCAACCTTGAAGAGGATGTTAGAGGAGAGGAGAGGAGTGTTGGATGTAGTAGATGCTTGAGGTCTGCGCCTGGTGTTGTCTGACGAAAGTGTGTGGTTCCGTGTGGTGCAAACGAAGCACGGACGTGAAATGGGAGTGAACGTGTTTGAAGTACAAAATGTGCTGTGTATCATGGAGGGAGGCGAAGTACATGTACGGGCAAGGGTGTCAGGAATGAATGTCCAGGGGCACATCTCCAATGGGAACTGAAGACAATCGCCCTTCTGGCCTCCGTGTGATGGCCAGAGCAGGGAGGGGGGAGTAGAAAAACGGAAGCTTGTTGTTCATGGATTACGGGTACAGAAGCTCGGGCGAATATTTTCTGCATAGAAGTGACGTGCACATAGAGAAGTGATGTGTTAAACGTGGCGATCGTTAGAAGAAAGAGAGAGTAGATGGCGCTAGGAAGTGATGCCATGAATTGATTTGTGTCGTTCACGCCCACGGCGAAGGTTGCTGTTTCGACTGGGCGGGAACTTCGGTGTTACATAGAACCAGGCGTGCGCTTGCGCGGGTTCTCAACTCTACAGGGGGCACTGTAGACATGCACGCACGCACGTCCAACACCACAAAATTATCCAAATTTCACGTCGCTGTAGTATTACTTCTAGATGGATCGAGAGTGTCTTGTGGAAGCCGCCACGGTACCGCTTTCGACGGGAAGGTGCGGGTTAAGGTTTATTTTTCGCGCTCGCTGCGCCTGTTTAGACAAAACATAGATGTGATTGGTGATAGAACACTACACGCTTTGTGATTCTCTGGGGGTGGTGTGATTGATGGTACACGCGAACGAGCTGCGTGAGACGACGGGGCGCCACAACAGTGACTTGTGTTTTTTGGCGATATATCGTGCCTTGATAGACCGGCTGCCTGTTTTTCTATTAGAGAGCGTGCTGCAGTAGGATGAAGGGGCGTGCGCCCAAGTACAACGACAAGCGCCCCCATGGCGAGTCAAGTCTTGGCTAGGTGTGCTCCTGCTGCGTCTGGGCGTGATTCGAACCCCCTGCCGCCACAGCCTGCTTTATCGTGCTCCGCACCATGGATGGCCGGCCCCGCAAGCATTGCCTCGCTGCAAGTTATGTAGAGCCCCGAGCCTCGGGGCTGGGGGTTTGTCGTGCATCTCGTTTCGAGTTGTTGGGTCCGTTACCGGGTGGTCCTGCTTGGTTGGCTTTGCTGCAGTGTCGTACTCTTTGTTTTTCTCTTTCGTCGTTATCTTACATACGTGTCGGTATTTTGTGGATGCTAGACGGCACGTGAAGGGTTGGTTGCCTCTTGGTAGGGGGTGGGTGGCTTGCCGCCGTGGCTGATTGTGGCGTATCGTGTAGAGGTCTGCTTGAAGATTTTCTTTTTTTAGATGTAGAGCTAAGAATCGCTCATGCTGTGCCATTGCGTGTGGGGATGAATTGATTCATGAGTGTGGGCTGACACGCGAAACACATGTTTCGTTGGCCTTTGGTCGTGGCGAGTCGCCGGGTGGTTGTTTTGGATAAAGAGAAGACAACCTCGCCTCGACACCTCGTTGATCGACTTTGGTTTGGGTCGAGGTATGCAGAGAAAACGAAGAAGACAGCTTTTGATCGTTGGTGTGGGTGGATGGAGCGATGAACGAGAAGGCGTTTTTCTTTCTTCTTTGTCTCTCGTGATTTTTGGTGGAGCGATAGTGAATGTAAAATACCGATTTATTTCGTTCGTTTGATCTGCTACCTTGCAAGATTGATTGTCGTTGTTTGGGTTTATATATCGGTCGGCTTGCGCTAGCCGAGCAAGATTGATTCGCTGTTTGGTTTATATATCGGTCGGCTTGCGCTTTGATTCCGCTTGAAAGACATGCACCACCTCTCCGAGCGCTGGGGGGGATGATGTTGCAGACCATGCTGTTTGTCTTGAGACCGTGGCATATTGACGATGCTCCTTGATTAGTCCTTGTCTTGGTGGTTACATGTAGAGGAGGTGATGCACCGGACAACTAGCTTGTCGGCCGACGGTCGTCGCGGTGGCAACGGTCAGCGCGTTGGTGATACCTGGGTCTTAAGGGAGGCGATCCGGGCGGCAGTGTTGAACGCTACGTGTAGCCAACCACGAATGTTTTTTGTTTTGTTTTTTCGTGGCCTGCTGTTGGCGACCTTTGAGGAAACTTCACGGGTAGGGATGCTAACGTACATGAGCTAAGTGCCAAGATGACTTTTGATTGAATTTGCGTCGCCTGCGATATTCAGCTGTTGCAGACGATGATCGCGAGCAAGTTTCGATTGTTATAATAGAGGATCACAGGCGCTTCAGAAGTGATGGCTTGTGGTGTTTGGTGTGGTTGAGAGATCGGGGGGGGGGGTAATGAGCTGTGCACCGTCGTCTAGCAGTTCTGCACGTCATTGCTGCGTTGTGTGAGCACCTGTTGAACGAGAATTACATGTTGGAAGAGTTTTTTTTTCATCGATGTTTATTTTCTCTCTGGAGGAAGATCAAGAAGGAAGAAACGCTCGTCGTGTGGCCCTCTTTCCTACTGTGCTACACCTGCTGGTTGCATCCAAAAATATGATCATATCAAAGGTGTATGCATGTTGACGTTTTTCCTCCATGTTGTTGTCCAGTACCTTCTTCTGTCCGTATCTTCTTGGCAATCCGATTTGTTGTGGACCTCGGTCCTTACACCTTTCTTTCGGTACAATTCTGGATGCACCAGCCGGGGGTAATTCAGGAGGAAAGAAGGCCCACACGAGTTAGTTTTATACTTCCTTTTGCGGTGATTAGTCTAGATGCAGGTAAAAAGATGACCTACAGTCAGTACAGTACTTGTACCTCCTCTACAACAAATATTCCTCTTGACGTTTCTCTCTGTCGTCAATCCTGCGGCAACAACATGCATCGAAGAAGAACCGCTCCTCCAACAACCGGGACCTGCCCTCGTTGAGAGAGCAACCACCAACAAGGGCACAAACAGTGTGGGCGCCTTTGGCCCATGTAGCTCAGTCTCCTTACGGTCGCCCTCTCCAAGTACACACGGACGCGGTGGCTTCGGCAAAGGTAGGATAAAGGGTGTGTTCTAAAACCGAAACGAACGCTGCTTTCTAGCGACAAGCTCAGGAAGCACAGACTTCACTGGGAAATTCAAGACGAGGCATGCTTCCTTAGACTAGACTCAAACGCATCTTTCGCGAAGGACATCGGACGACGTGTTTCTTCCGATGATCTTGGTTGGGTTTATATCAATGCGGACTACTCGTGGTTTCCTCCAAGACTGCGGGGCGAGAATGTATGCATTTACTAAGACGGTTCGGGTGGCATACTACGGCGGTTCGCAGCGTGTGGCGAGGGGTGCCCAGGGTGGTTGTGTTATGTAGGCAATTGAAGGTCGGCTCTTGACATGAACTTCTGACCGAATGTTTCAAAATGCAGAATGACCTCAAACTTGACTGCTTCGGGATACTATTTGAGAGGAGTAGCAGCCTGAGCGCGCGAGGGGGGGAGGTTGACGAACACCGGTAAGTGGCAGGCCTCGTGTATGGTACTCGGGTAACCGGAACCAAAGCACGCGACAGCCGTGGTTAGAGAAAGAAACGGGCGGAGAATACGACATTTGCCAAAGACAAGGCGCATCAATTGCATTCTCGGACATGGATTACAGAAGATGTATGTCCGATGAAGGTGCTGCTTCTTCTCGAATGGTTCCGTATCACGCATCGTGTGGCCACAGCTTTCGTTGATGGAGATACTCATAGCCGATTGTTCATGTTGCTTCACCTCGACGGGTACTGTGTCACGTACCTATCGTGTCGCCACAGCGTTCACGCAGAGACGCACAGCCAACATATGCTTCGGGAAAAAACTGTCTTGGCTATTTATTGTGATGCCAATCAAACACTAGTTTTATTCTCAAACGTCCACGAACAACAAAATATACCCGTACTAAAATGGCAAGGCACCCGGGGAGTCGTGAGTTGCTGAATCATCGTTTTACCGCCCAGCCACCCCTTGCTCTCAAATAGGACAGAGGCAAAACAATAGCCGATTTTGTTCTCATGCTTGACTGAAACAAACACATGGCTAGATTACATTGTGTACCCCCGTCCCCCCCAGACGTCCCCCCCTGAGAAACAAGATCAACCAAGGCATGAAATGGATATTTTCGACCTCATTCTCAGTACTGCTCCATCTAGTACCTGCTGTCCATGTTGCATGACCTGACCCAACCCCCTATTGCTTCATGAAGAAGCTTCATGTTGCTGGAATATATTGACAAACGAAAAATATTAAAACTTTTTGTATCGTACATAATATTAAACAAACTGTAATGACGATGAATCAGATGTGGTTCATAAATCCAAGGAGGTAGTCAGAAAAACAGGGTAAAGGGTGTACGACCATCTGCATCACAGCGAGAGACCCCTCCTCTTTCCCAAGGGCGCTGAATCTGAGCCATCGTACAAGCTGACATGTTCGCCCCCCCCTCGCCACGACATTGTGTCTTCTTGATTCACACCACAGCTATAACATACAGCGTTTGTCGTGGTCGGGGGTATCCCCATTCACTGTCACTTTAAATACTAGGACCTTCCACTTTCGGTGGTAGGCGGTCCTACTAGGGCCCCCGCAACGAGTGACGTTGAATTCGTACGTAGAAATGTTACACAGAAGCACAGGCAAGACGAGTGAGTACATCGGTTAGGCTCCTTCGACCTATTTCGAAAGTCGTTCGCACGACCAAATTGAGAAAATCGGGGATTCCAACATGAGCCCCTGATCCCACCCCCCCCGTTGGTGAAAACCCGGCGTATTCTGTCCCGGCTTTGTAGGGATGCAAGGTCTACGAGCTGACGACTACGGCCTGCACGGCTATGAGTACCCCCCCCCCCCCCCCCCCCGGGTTTGCCATCCGGGGTGGGTTTTCCTCCCTTGGCAACCACGTTGTAAAAAAAGCCCCCCCCCCGGTGTTTGCCATCCAAAATGGGTTTTCCTCGCTTGGCAACGACGTTGTAAAACAAGCCAATTCACTTCGTGAACTCGGCAACCAGGTTACCGCTTTTTTTTTTTTTACCTCTGCTTTTTTTTTGGCGGTAACCATAATGGTGGTCGAGTAGATCATGTTGTGCGGGGTGGAGAAACCTCACTCCGCGCAAGGGGGATGATCGCACCACGTTGTGTTAAAATGGTCAAGCATCCTCGAGGCAGGTACACAGTGCTTATAACTGTCTCTGGAAGTGAACGCACCAGAAAATAAATTAAGTCATACGCAGCTGTCATCCGTAGGCAAGGAAGTAAGCACAAGATGCCGAACACCCTTAGCAGGATGCAGCTCACCCTTCATGCGACTCGCCGAATACCTCACGATGCTTCGCGCTTGGTGATGTGAGAGCCTGGTCCGGTGAGAACCCGGCGTGCTCCGTCCCGGCTTTGTAGGGATGCCAGGTCAATGGTCTAACGACTACGGCATGCACGACTATGAATACACCCCCCCGCCCCCCCTCCGTCCTGGACACTTACTCGAAGCTCAGCATTGCTCTGCCTACATTTCTTCCCGAGGCTCCAGGTAACGATCGCTTTGCACCCAGCTGTAGGTGGCAGCATTGGTACAGCAATCGATATCCCAGGACCGGCATCTGAACTCCGGCTTTCAAGTAGCAGCACCAGAAACGTTTTGACAATTTTCCACTCCCGATGCCGTTGTGGTGCTACAGATGCTTCCAGCTTTGAACTAGCAGCCCCAGAACTTTATTAACAATTCCCGTTGTCGATGCCGTCGTTGTGGTGCTACGAACGCTTCCTCTTCCCAGTCAGAGCCTTAACCAAGGCGTAGTAAAAAGGCGTCAGGTTGTACCCAGAGGGGTGGGTGTCGTTGAGACTCGTAGTACGCTTGGTGCGCGTGCTGTTGACACTACGATGCTGGTTTTGCGTTTCTTGTTCGTCATGGTAGCCGCTGCTGCGCTCTCTGTACTGCTGCCGCTGTCCTCTTCTTCCTCCTCGTCGGTGGTTGGCGTTGTATCCGGCGTCGCTCTCTCCGGCTCCGTAGACGTTTCTCTCTCGACCGTCCGGCCTCCTTGCTCCGCGCTCCCTGTCGCAACGCGTTGGGTGTTGGCCGCGTTGGGTGTTGGCCGCGTTGGGTGTTGCTAACGGACACCTCCCCACCGTGGCCGTTTTCAAGGGAAATCATCGTCTCGTGTTCGGCTCCGATCTCTTGCTGGACGGCGGTGAGCGCGGCCGCGGGCGGCGCTGCTGAAGGCCGCGTTTTTTCTCCGGGAGGCGTCAGGGAATGGTCAAGGCGCGCCGTGCCCGTTGGGTCGTCCATGTCAAGAAGACGAACCCCGGAGCGTTGCTGCTGCTCGTGCCGCCCGCCTCCGCCTTGCGCACTCGTGGGTCGACCTGTGTGGCGCTTGGTGTTGGTAGTTTCCGAGGGCACGACACCGGCGATGGAGGAGGACTCGTTCTGCGTGCGGACCCTGAAGAAGAAAGTTTTGCCGGGGGGTTGGATCACGGGAGGCAGAGTTAGAATCCGGTGTTGAGGTGAACAGCGTCGTGGTGGTCGGGCGACGGTGGTGGATCGATGTCGACAGGGGCATATAGTGGCTAGGGTGCACGGAGGGGTCTTCCCATGATTGATGAGGTGGAGGAATCACCTTGAGACGCTCTGTGGCTTCCCTCTTTGTGCAGAACCGCTACATCTACGCTCACGAAAGGCCGTCCTCGAAAGGAGAGCGCCGCGACTCCCGCCCGCTCGCCAAAACCCTACGTCCTTCAGGGCAACGCTAACGCACAGCTAACGGTATATTACCGGGTCCGATAGTTCCACACGCGCGGGTGGCACCAAGGGCAGTATTTTGGTTGTTGGCATGTCATGTTTGGACGATTTTCCAACGCTGCTTGACCGATCGATCGGGTAGGTCTCCCCTCCTCAAAACTACAATCCCCGGCAAGGTCACGTTTTCGGGTCGAGGCCAGCTGCAGACTACCGCAGTGTCTCGGTATGGGTCGAAGCTGATCGACTGAGAGCTGCCAAGAAAAACACACCAAAACACGTAAGTATTTTTGTCCCTACCTGCGGTGAGCGTGTGCTGTCCCGGCAGCACCGCTGTACGCCGCCGGAAACGCCGACTGGGGGCGGCTCCGGTAGGCTTTCCCTTTGCCTTTCCTCTTCATCAAGGCTACGCTTTCCCATTCGTCGTCAAAGCCTCCCACTTCTTCCGAAGTTGCTGTCCGTGGAGAAGGAGAGCCTGGAGGGGCAGGAGCCGCCGGGTTGCCGCCGCTTGGTTGGGCCCCGGGTGTTCCATCCTCCGGGGATGCTTCGAAGAACCGGGTTCTTGGTCGCTGATCTTCTCCCCGTCGACACGCCGGCGAGGTCCCCGCAGCTGGTCCGTGGTGCCAGGATGGTAAACGTTGGGCAGGATGTTGCTCCCCTCCGTCGCGCCGCTGGTGTCGGCGAAGCGGAGAGCTCGGGGAATTCGGGCAGCTTGCCAAGCGCCCCGGGGAGACGCAGAGGAGATTCCTGCATCCCTCGACTGGGAATGCGGGGGGAGGCGATTGTGGTTAGGATCGACTGCCCCGTCTTGCTGGATGTAGGACACGCCGCCGCCGGTGTTTTCCCTCGCGACGACAACAGCTCTGCCTTGAGTGCTGGTGGTGGCGGCGGCGAAGCTCGAAGTGCTGGTGAGAATCTTGGGATGAGCGTTACCATCGCTCTGGGCGTCGCGGTGCGTGCCCCCCGCTTTTGTGCACGTCACAGACGAGCCGCTGTTCCTTCCCCTGGGCGACTATCCTGGTGCACTCCGGAGGCACACATTGCGCCCTGAGATTGGGAGAACGTGAGCGAGAGGACAAAATAAAACGATTTGAAGTTAGGGCCCGTGTGGTTTGTTTTCCGCTGCGTGGCTGAGAAACCCGTGTTGCCTACTCCGGGTGCAGGTTCGTCGTATTTTTGGGGCAGGGATAAGTTCCAGCTTGCTCGTGTGTGGTTTCACCCATGCATCGAGACTACGCCTTTAGATTGAGTGAGAATTCAGCATGCCCCGTGGAAATAGCGGAGATTCGCCTGTCGCGCGTGCCCGGTTCGTGAGACCGTTCAGATGGAACTACGCGCGTTTAGCACTTGATGTCGAATTGAACCGACGTGTGCCGCCCTCCACGCAAAACATGCGTTATAATGATATATTGTTTCAGCGTCAAACGGAAGAAACCATGAGCCCAACATCGGCACCGTATACCAAACGACCAGACAGGTAGCCCTTCAAGAGGCTTCTGACGAAGCGCTTCACACTCAGAGAAAGACCCAGACCAGCACTGCAACGCACAAGACATTCAGCGCGCGCACTCACATGTTGGTGGGGTGTAGCAGAAGACAGTCGGGCCCGCGGTGTCCGACGCAGAACTTGGGGAGCTGCTGTCCATCGATCACGTAGATCAGCTCTCGGCTGGTGCACCCTGGAACCATGCATTGGCTCCTGCTGCTGGCCAGTGCACAGGGAGACGGGTGAGGCGGGAAAATAGAAAGTTCAGGGACCTGGGAGCAGGTGCATTCTGGTCGTTGAAGAAGCTTCGGTCGTCAACGAAATAATTCGTGTGGTGCCGATATAGCGCTCGGAGACGTCGAGCGATGATCTCGTCTGTCTGAACCACACCCGACTAAACCTGCCGCAGATAGTGCAAAAACCCAAAACCACCAGCCGTGTCGCGTCACCTCCTGGGAGTGCTGACCATGTTATTCCCCTTGTGCTCGCTGCAGAACTGGCCACGCTCGCCCCCGGTTGCCGCGAACGATGCTCCCCTCGAGCAGCCCGCGGCCCTGCACCGCTGATCGCGAATGTTGATCATGTTGGCCTGCCGGTGGTCCTTGCAGAACTTGGGGTAGCAGTCGCCGTCCATCGCAAACGAAGCTTGCTTGATGCACGTCGATTCTTCGCACCTCGTCCTGGTTTGGGGGATGATGAGTAGTGGGTCGCGACAGCATGGGCGATAGCAGTCGAGCCAGAAACGGCAGGGAATTCATTGGGAGGGGATAGGGGATAGGGGATAGGGGGAACCCACCAATGGAGGTGTCGCAAGCAGAACCAGAATGTAAGGCCTAGCGGGAACAGGAAAAAAATATCATCAGAGAGCCGGCTGTATTGTTACCATAGAACACCAAGGTGAATAAGAGGGGGTTGGCGTAGTATCCATTATTCAAAATGCACACCAAAGAATCCCGGCACAGTGCAATGTTCAAAACCTTTCACAACAATAGAGGCTGAACGTTGCACTGACAACTGATGATAACCTACGGACTACCGGCTCATGTCTCACCCAATCCTGTCCCTGACTTTCACCATGCCCGCCTCCTTGTCAAGGTGGCAGAAGCGGGCGCGGGTGTCCTCGGTGGAGGCAGAGGCCGAAACTCTTCGACACCCGACGAACTCGCAGTCACCCCTGCGATGCGGGGGGGTACAGAGAGCAACAGCACTTTCATCGACAACGCAAAGTTGAAAGCAAAGCAACGCCGGGGGAAAGGCGGAGGAGCTCCTTCCGTTTGACCCCGGCTGGTGCGTAAACAAATACCGAGGTGAATAAACTGGCTCCCAGAAAGATGGGACTAAATACAAATACGAACGACCGTTCAAGCCGACTAAATCGAAACAACGGCATATGAATTGGTGTTCTCTGTTGTTCGTTTCCCATTATTTGGTTTTTGGTGATTGTATACCGTCTCATCAATGACCATTACTGATTGCAACGTGGCATGGGTCCTTATCAATATCGAGTGTCGAGCCCCGTGCAACATATATTCGAAGATCGACGGTTGACCTTCCAAATGCCGTATGCGTCACAACCTCTTAACACACAATGGGGTGAACGCTCCGGCGTGTTGCACTACCGAAACGCCGGTCTGATGAATGAATCGGAAGGAAAACCGAAAGGGTCTGGTGAGCCTTTGAACAAAATACACCTGCAATGGACCTTTTGCCACCCTACACACACGCGCGCGCACTGATACTCCCCGTCTATCCTGATCTGCGTCTCCTTGCTCCCTTTCATCGCCCACAAACAAGGGTCGACTGCCCACCCCGCAATGAACCTTTTGCCACCCTACACACACGCGCGCGCACTGATACTCTCCGTCTATCCTGATCTACGTCTCCTTGCTCCCTTTCATCGCCCACAAACAAGGGTCGACTGCCCACCCCGCCGCCGACCACGGAATAAATTGTTTCGTCTGCTTTTCGCGCATCCATGCTATCATACCAACCCCGGTGCACCCCCGCGCGGGCGCTTGCGGATACCTGTTCGGGTGAATGACGTTCTACTGTCCGTTTGTCTTGTGCTTCTCGCAGAAGACGGGTTCCGAGTTCCTGCTCCCGGCGTACGACGCGGTTCTAAGGCACGCAAGGTGCTGGCAGTGAGGCCTGTACCGGGCGTCGCAAAACGACAGCATTGTTCGGAGAGCGAACGGGGGTTGCTAGCGGTTAGTACTACTGGTGCGGTGCTTTTCTGTGACGGCCATTACCTCGCAACTCTACCAAGGTGCCACCGTGTGGGACTCTGGCCCAGCATCTTCCATTCTTCTGTACTCAGAGGTAGGCGTGATAAAGTATAAAACCAGCCTAATCCGCCCACCGCTGGCCGAAAAAGTAGCAATAGCCATTCTCTCTAGCTCTCACGTGGCACGATTTAATTACCTCCACTTTTTTATTTCGCTGAGCTACGGATGAAGGCGTGGCGGTCGGGAAAGCGTGCTGTTGCCTGGGGGCGTCGACCCGCTCTCTTGCGGACACCCATGACGGCAGCAGTACACCCGACGTTCGGCGATGCTGCGGACGAGAAAGTCCGTCTTGCTCCGCTTGCAGAGCTCACGCCGAGTATGCCACGGGGAGCCTCGGGTAGTTTGGGGCCCGCGGTACACGGGGGCGACACAACGGCCATCTATTGACGACACGTGGAGCAAGGACAAGAGACACGTTCGGTGGAGTGTTTCATTTGATGTACTAGAGGGACAAATAGAGCGAGAACGTTGCGCTGTCGAGGAACAACCGCTGCTCGCAGAACCGTGTCGCCCATCGCAAACCGTCGCGTGTTCCCGCGCCCGTTTTGACCACGAACTGTTATTTCCCGTTGTCGGCGGACACGCCGTCGCAGGAGTCTGATGCCGGCGGTTCCGGTCCTGCGGGGCGCAGCGCTGGAGTGGCCGCGGCCGAGGCGCAGCTACAGGCGGCGCAGGAACGTCTCCGGAGGGCGCAACGCCAGGCTGGGCCTTTCTCTCCGGTGGGCAAGCCGGTCGAGGGTGCGTCCGCGCCTGGCGCGGTAGGTGCCGCGGCGGATGCTCGTCGTCCTTCGCGGGCCACGGCGCCCTTCCTGCCGGCGTCTCCCGACGGCGACGATGGCGCCGCTCCTCCTGCTGCCGACGGGCCGGTCTCCCCTTCGCCTGCCGCCGGTGGATCCGAGGTTGCGCAGCCGTCGGCTCTCCAGGGCTTCGCGGCTCAGCAACCGGTTGAGGCGTTGGTGCGCGGCCTAGCCGGCAAGGCAGCGCGCAAGGCGGCTGCCTCCGACTTCGCGACTCAGCGCCGTCTTGAGGAGCTCACGTCGGCCCGCGCGGACGAAGCCCAGCCAGCGGTTGTCGCTGAAAAGCTGAAAGCTTTGGCGGCTAGGCCGCGCACCAACACCTCAACCGCTTGCTGAGCCGCGAAGCCCTGGAGAGTCGGCGGCTGCGCAACCTCGGATCCACCGGCGGCAGGCGAAGGGGAGACTTATCTCCCGCACACGGCGTTCCGCCGCCTCCCTGTCCGCCCGGAGCTGGCGAACCCGCTTCCGCACGCCATCCGCTCGCGCTGGCCGCGAGCGACGTTGGTCTCCTCGATCAGCATGCGCCCCTGTGCCTCGAGACGCTCAAGCGCCTGCCTCTCGTTCTGACCACCGTCCTCCTCCTCGCCGGGCCCGCCGGCACCATCCGACGAGTCCACCGCCGGCACCGGCGGGCTCACCGCACCAGGTGACGCGGCACGAGCAGGCCCACCCACCAGAGCACCGTCCTCGGAAGAACCTGACAGGACCGAGGCATATGAGCGCGACGCGGTTACACGGGCCGCGAGCCGGCGCGACGAACGCACGGGGGCACAAGCGGTTGGCGAGGTCAGCTCGGCAACACGCGGCACGAACCCCCCAACGGTCATCCTACGCGCGGACCTACGTGACTGTGACCGCGTGACCATGGTCGGCCCCGGGAGCACACGCGGGGACGTACACGACCTACCTGACACGCCCCGACGAGGAGTAACCGATCCCGAAGCCGGAGGCGGCGACGTCCCTGCTCCGCTTTAGATCCGGAGGTGTCCATGGCTCCGACCGGTCGCACCCGCGACTCAAGACACCCGCGCACCACCGACGAGCTCGCCCGACCGCAACCGCTGCGGACACAACCAACGCCTGTGCGATGCGATATCCGTTACACACGCGACCACGATGACACACCCCAGCGCGCATCACTCCGGCGAATCGGGAACAGGCCTGCAGCGCACAACTCTGATCGCGAGGATCCTCGCACGGCCCGTACGGCGCTCCGACCGCCCGACCGCACGGCGTCGGCGACGTGGCACCCCCCTCGGCCGAGCTCCTCCAACGGCCGCGCGCCCGCCGGCGACGCAAGCAGCGCTGCGGCAACCCCGCAATAGCGGCGACGCTGGATGTTGTCGGCAGCGGGGACGCTGCGGACGAACGCGGACGCGACACAGCTCCCGCAACGCGGCGGCGACCGGCGCTGGCGGCAGGGGCGATGCGACGAACGCGACTCGGACTCCGCGGGTTCGAGCGACGAGACGATGCTCGCGACCCGGAGTGCTTCGGCGACAGCGGCGACGCTGGGGACGCGACTCGAACGACGACACATAGTCGACCACGCGCAAGCAAGCTTATCCGAAGCTTGATGCCGCTGGCGCCACTGTGGAGAGAACTACATAGTACTGCCTCTTTTGTTCTGCAGGTTCTAGCTTGGACGTGCGTTGCACTTGCGTTCAAGCGTGTTGTTGTGTGTGCTGCCTCGGCAGTTTGTTTGTCTTGTTTGACTCAGGCATAGTCTGCTCACAGCACTGTACGGCAAACTGCGGGTAGGGAGCAAGAGTGATCTGGTGTGCGAGGCTTAACACGGAGCCAAGCTTCCGGACGGTCCTACCTCCAAAGAGTCGTTATTAAACTAAAGACCTTGTATGCATACGTCATCGATGACCTGTGCATCAACCCAGCACTCTGATTGGCACAGCTTATGCCCTTGTGTACATCTGTAGCTATTAACTGCACCGTAATTTAGAGCAGCCCTTCGTCATCATGTCTCTCTGCTAAGATGACCTCGGGCGGGTTCCGCGGTAAAGACTAATTGTCTCTCTCAGTGGCGAGGAAAAACTCAAATTAAAAACCGTTTTTGGATCATGTCTAAAACGACGTTTAAAAGCATAAAAAAAGAGGAACAAAAAAATTGTGTTCGGATCACCTTGATTTTTTTTTTCACCGCATTGCCGATTTCGGCGCCTCCATTTCTCCTCGGCAATCGATTCCGCTTGGCCGATTTAGGGGAGGTAGAGCCACTCATAATGTTGATCGGACACAAGCTCGACGTGGGAACCGAGAATGGATCCAAAATCCCAGGAATTTTGAAATTGCTCAGCTACGGTCAGCTTTTGAGCAGCTGAAAGTCCATTGCAAAGCAAAACTGGGGCATTCCGATAATATTATATTTATTTGTGATCCCCACCCCAAAATTACCCTAATTCGAAGTCAGGAGAGATTGAATCAACATGTGGATAGTGTTGTGGGAGGGGGTTTTTTTCAGTGTAATTCAATTCCTAGTGATTCCAGGTTTTCTCCCTGCTTTTGCGCATATATATATTATCAGTGCGTATTATTAGCTGTATCACGGCCGCATCGATCCTGATCAAAATTCTGACGACGGATTCTTGATCTACACCAATCTACACCACAACATTACGCTAGCTTGAGAATTTTATACGATACGGAGGCGTTTGAATTTTGCTCGGGGGGCCCGCAGACGCGATTTTCGCCCAATTTTACCCACTCATTCATCAATAACTCATTACCACGACATCCAAAATGGGAAAAGAAGTATGCCATTTTATTTTCGTGATCCTCGTGACCTAACGGATGTCGGTTCAAAATTTCAGAGGTTGGGACCCATTTCTTGCTGCTCATATTGAAAAACTCGTGAAAATGATTCGTCTTTAGCCCGGAACCCGCCCTCGGTCCTTGGCTATTACTATCCACAGCCTACACTGGTCGGTCTAGTCGGCTATGCACGCCGAAAATACACTGACGGTTATCCAGAGTTCGAGAATAACGCCTTGCGAACTAGACTGAAACCCATTCTTTCCACATTTGCCCCCAACGACGTACCCCTAAAATCTATTCACCGGCCCCCCTTTCGCCGGCCACACCCCGCCACGCGCGAGACTTGGCTAGGCTACAGCTAGCATCACGAGCTCACGGCTGCACCACTCTGTGCCACCTGTAACAATCTGAGGTTTTTGCGTAGTGCTCGTGCGTGTCACTAGGACAGGGCGTGGGGAGAAGCTTTGTCGCCACGGGCCGCGAAACTTTGCTGACCGCAATAGCATCAAGCAGGCCGTCGGCGGCAGGCAGCGGCAGCAGCAGCAGGAGCAGCAAGGTTTCGCATTTCGCATCATCATGGCTGAGAGCTGGGAGGACATCGACAAGCAGACGAAAAAGTCAGGGGGCGGGCTCAACCCCGCTGCGGCTTCCTTCAGCTTTAACCCAGCGGTCGCATCGTGGAGCCCGGGAGGAGCGGCGCCGGCCCCCGCTGCAGCAGCAGCACCAGGTGTGTGTGTGTGTGGCAGCAAATCTGTCGAACCGATGACCGTCCCACGCATCTCACGATTTTGTGGCCCTAACGAGTGTGATGCTTTGCCCAACAAGAGTCTGCCTGTGCGTTCCCTCCTGCTTACGTCCAGGCATGCGGAGGTCGACGCTATTGGTGGTTGTTGGCTCTTTTTTGTTTGCCCACTGGTGGGGGAGCAACGGCCATGGTTGCAATCGAATCGTGTTGCCATGTGAAAAAATTGCAGCTGTTCGCTGTCACCGGAACATTTCGCGCGAATGAGCGGTGTGTGCTCTTGTAGACATGCGCGAAAAAGGCCCCGGCGGCGAATAAAATATCAGTATAGCTTGAGACTGCTGAACGGCAAACATTTTCCCATCGTTGTCGTGGCAAGCAGTAGGACGAAGAGGGAGTGATCACTTGGTTAGGCAGCGAGAAGAACTGTTCAATTAACATCAAGTTTCCTACAAAGGAAGAGATTCACAGCAGTACTCTGATGCGTACACTCCAAGATAGAAGAGACTGCCCAGGAAACGCCGAACCTTTCTCGCCGTTTTTCGAAGAATATTGAAGGCAAGAACGCAAGAGCACTGCCGGCGGAAGGAAAAACAAGGCGAGGCAACAAGATAAATAACAATGCCTCTGTTTTCTTCCTCCTGTGTGACCCTGGCTGATGTTCGTCAAATACGGGCAAAACGTATTTTCTCGAACGGTAGTCCGAAAGCTACGATGGTATCCTACAGCAGTAGATGGGAAGAAACACACCACAAAGACAAGGCGCTGACTCTTTACCCCGTCCCGCCTCCCGTAATCTGCTGCGCGGTAGCTACGCCTCTCAAATCGCCTTTTCCGCTAGCAGCCCCGAGCCCCATGCAGTCAGCTCAGGCCATGGCCGCCGACAAGGTCGGCGCTGTTGCCGAGGGCATGCGAGAAGTCAGCATAAGCTCCGCGCCCGCCGCGGCGGCAACCGCAGCAGGAACAGCATCGGGTGGAGGGGGTGCGGAAGAGTCCAAGGACCAGTCCGAAGGCGTGGGTGACGGGGGTGACGCGGAGGAGATGGACGAGAACGACCCCCTGTGGAAAGTGAGTAGATGCCCCTCTGTTCGGGAATATACCATGGTATGACGGGGACCATCCATTGTGTTATTCGCCCTTGGATTTGAGGGCCTCCTTTCATATTCGAAAAGAGTGGCAGCTGCAGCAGTGTGAGGGGGAATCAATAACGCCGGTTGGTTGGCGCCGCTGGCCGTGTTATAAGCGCCTGTGAAATCGCAGGGCAGACTGAATCACCAAGTAATTTAATAGCGCCGGTCCCTCAGAATAGCGCCTGTCGATGCGCCGGCCACGTACCGGCTTTTCATTGAAGGTCCCCACTGCTGTAGATCCCTTGAGCTTCGCGGGAGACAGGGAATGTTTCGAGCTGTTAGCACCTAAGGTCTTGCCGACACGCAGCAGGGGCGGCGCAACATTCGGAGAGCTCCTGTAGACTGGCGTTGCACAAACACGAGGACGGCCGTGGTGGAATATGCCGGTGTACCGTAGTGCCTACCTGCTGTAGTGTCGTTGTGGCATGTGGCATTGGTAAATGCATCAGCCACGCACGCAAGCCCACCCCTCTACAGACTTCAGCGAGTAGGCGGGAGTGGCCCACAGCGCGGGTAGCATGAACGCGAGGTATCCCCCCAATGGGATACAGCAGCAGGTAGAGACGTCGTCCCTGCCTCACGTACGTACGGCCCTATTTTGGTTCTCTTGGTGTTTGTTTGTGCTGCCATGGTAGTCAAGATCGCACCAGCGGCGATGGAAGTACCGTTTGTCTTAATCCACGCGCATGGGTAGGACTGGCTTGCGCTGAACTAACCTACTCCACGGCAACAGCCACGACCAACCAACAGCAGCAACAAGAACAACCAACCGGCGACCCTTCAAGTTGCACACAACCCCTCTCCAGTTCTCCGGCAGTCAGCGAGTAAGCGGTGTGTGTCGGGGGTGACCCACAGCCCGTACCACGAACGCGATATGTGCCTCCAATAAAACAACCACACGAACCAACAACAACTACCACCCAACAGGCGACGCTCCAGGTTGCGAACGGGGATCGGGCCAAGGCCCTCAAGATGCTGGAAGACCCCGATGCCCTCATGGCCAACCCCGAAGTCAACAAGATCATCGCGGAGGGAGCGGCATCGGGAGACGCAGCCCTGGAGGTTGTGGAAGGGCAGTACCCGGAGCAAGCGGGGGGGGGCGTGGCTGCGGGGGGGGAGGGTGAGGGGAAGGCTGCCCGGGGGGAGCGGCGAAAGGGGGGCGACAACTACGGGGGGAAGAAGGAAGAGAAGGAGGAGGTGGTTGAGAAGGAGGCAACTGATGAGGATCCACGGGAGCACCTCAACCTCGTGTTTATCGGCCACGGTAAGTCGAAGGTTTGCTGGAGTTTCTACTGCTGGGTTTTGATGCCGACAAAGGTTGCTGGAGTTCTGCTGTGCTTGTTGGCTTCGATACAAGTTTAGCGCAAGAGGAATGTATCAAGTTCTCCCGAGAGGACAAATACACGCGGAAGCGCTCAGCTGCTGGTGCCCGAACAGTTAGCGGAGAGGCTTGGTCGTAGTTTCCTCGTACTATGTAGGTCAGACAGGCAGTTAAACGCACGATGATGACGAGAAATTGTCGAGGAAATGTAGACGAGGGCTTTGGAAACTGCGTCCTTGATCTCGGCAGACACGTGCTGCGGAAGGGGATACGTAGCGGGAAGACAGGATGGAGTGCAACCCATCAACAACGTGCGCCAGAGTTGCCTAGGGTACCAGAGATGAATAGCTCGCTGTTGTCTTCTTGGCAACCGCGAGCGGCAGCCCACTGGTGTCCAGGCTGTAGATGCACCGTTGCGGGGAAGTTGACGTAACGAGCAAGCCAATGGCACTCGATCAACAGCGGCACACGATGAGCAAAGGGATTTCATCATCGCTTCTCTCGACGAAGGCGCCGAGTTTCTTGCGTCGTACCCTTGTGCACGTTTTTGTTTGCCATCGAAACGGTAGTGCGTATCGTCCTGCTGCTGCCTCTGTCTACGATTGTACTGGTGTACTCCCTCTCTTCCGTGGGATGGGGTGCCTTACGTGGGATGGGATGCCTTAGTGTAGATTCGATGCCCCACCGAGTTTTGTCGATGCGTGGGATGGGATGCATTACGTGGGATGGGATGCCTTGGTGTAGATTCGAAGCCCAACCGAGTTTAGTCGATGCACTGCTGCTGTCATCTACTGCACTGGTACTGAGTACCATATTTTTTGTGCAGTCTCGCATAGATGAGCATGGAATACGGGGGAAACCTTGCTGAAGCCGTCGACATCTCAAGACGGTTGTTCTCCGATTCTGTGGTGCCATTCGCACCTTTACGCTACCGGCCGCGGCTTTGGCTTGCACACGTCATGAGTGTTGTACTTTGCGCCTTTGTGTCTATTACCTCCAACCCGTGTTTGCTTGCCATTGAGGCGAGCATTAAAGCCTGTCTGGCGAACGCGCAGGCGTATGCGCAGGCACGTAGCTGCAGGTGCTGACGCTCTGCTCGTGCACGAGGCGTATCTTTTTTCTGTTGAGGAAGTCGTAGAAGGGTGTTTTGGCGATCAACACGACGATCAATATTTCACCCCCATGTTTCTCCTACCGTGCAGCCGTAGTCTCTCTCAGGTGCAATGCAATCACAACAATGAACTTACCAGAAAACGGGCCTCCTGCTGGTACCTTGCCGGTAATGTTCTGATATTGCTCCGTTCCGTGGCATTGTAGAAACAATACTTTCGGTGGTGTGTGTGTGCGCACGTTTTTGTCATAGCTGTTGTTGACTTCTTAGGCCCCTACGACATGCTGTATCATGGCGTCTAGTGTCTCCGACCGTTTCCCCTATGTTGACAACGGAAACTGAGAAAGATGCCCCACTGCTGCATCGTTTGTTGTTCGTGGATGCAGTCGACGCCGGGAAATCTACCCTATCGGGAAACATTCTGTACCTCACGGACTTCGTAGACAAGCGTACCATCGAGAGGTGAGTCCAGTCCCGCTCCACTGGCTTGGCACTCTGATCCAAGAGGCGCCCGCCATCGTCGATCTGTCCGTGTGGAACCATTCACGGGTTGCGCTCCATGTGGCACTCTTACAGCATGTCACATCGTGCAGGTGTTGTCAGGATGTAGTTTTTTTATGTTCTCGGTCGTCGTCATCGCTTGAAGCGTTTCATATCAACGTGTCGGTTGTCGTCCAGCGAGGGTGGCTACCTTAGGGTTGCATGACGTAAGATATCCTGGACCGATTTTGAAAGCTTGAACACTCGGCAGGGAAAGCGGTGACGGTGCCGAAAAAAAGGCGGAGTTGGAACCGTCGCTTCGAGAGGTTTCCGAACACGTACATGTATCGTTTGCCTTCGGCATCCTCTTGGTCGTGGAGTAATCGAGCTTTGAAAAATCGGTCCAGGGGGCGTGGTATCTTACGCAACCTACATGCAACCTACGGTAAGTAGTAACCGCTGTTGTTGGTAGCGTGTCAGTCGGTACGGTTCAACTCATGCCTCGCTGGTGTTGGTGGTTTTTCGTTGAGCCACGGGGGCTAAGCAGTCCAGCCGCTGTTGTTGGTAGCATGTCAGTCGGTAGCCCCCACCCGGAAATATTTGTGACGTTGTCATGGTCGCTGTCGTTGGACCGGGGAGGGTGAGCAGCTTAGCCGTTCTTGTTCGTAGCACCTCACTCGAGACATGTTGAAACCGTATCGTCGTTGCCGTTGTCCGTCGCACCTCGCTCGAAACCTGTTGTAACCGTGTCATTGTCGCTGTGGTTGTATCAGGTACGAGATAAAGGGCTAAGCAGCCCAGCTGCTGTTGTCGGTGCCACCTCGCTCAGAATCTGTTGAAATCCTATTTTGTTGTCGCTATGGTTGTGCGAGGCATGCATACGAGGGAGGCTAAGCGACGCAGCCGCTGCTTCTTGGTAGCACCTCGCTCGAACTCTATTGAAACCGTGCACCGTTGTCTCTGCCTTTGGTGGTGTCAGGTACGAGAGGGAGGCTAAGCAGCGAAACCGGGAATCCTGGTTCCTGGCGTTCATCATGGACACCAACGAGGAGGAGCGAGCTAAGGGGAAGACCGTTGAAGTGGGACGAGCACACTTCGACACGGAATGCAAGAGGTCAGTTACTGATAAGATGGACCCCTGGAGTAGGCCAACAGCCCGTGCCATATAGACGAATGGTACTGTATACCGTACCGCAGTGACACGAGAGTATACGGTATCTCGATTGGTCGTGCGGTAGCGGAATGGAACTCTATCACACAGCAGTAAACGGGTTGAAAGTATACGGTTATGTCGAACAAAGACCGTCGAAGTGGGACGAGCACACTTCGACACGGAATGCAAGAGGTCAGTTACTGATGGGATGGACCCCTGGAGTAGGCCAACAGCCCGTGCCATATAGCCGAATGGTACTCCATACCGTACCGGAGTGACACGAGAGTATACGGTATCTCGATTGGTCGTGCGGTAGCGGAATGGAACTTTACCATACCACAGTAAACGGGTTGAAAGTATACGGTTATGTCGAACAAAGACCGTCGAAGTGGGACGAGCATACTTCGACACGGAACACAAGCGGTCAGTCTCAGCTGGACCCCTGGCGTATTCCGACAGCATAAATACACGGCACAATAGAGGTCCCGGCGTAGTCCCTGTTTGTGCCCAGAGGTTTGACCGGCACTGCACCGGATATCAGCACTATGCCAAGCACAGAACAACTTGGTAGCTCAGTCTGTGCCCGCCGAAATCACTTGCACCATATGGGGCCACTACTGTAATCGAATGGGACTCTACCTTACCTGTAGTAACCGGGTTGAGAGCGTGGTCTTGTGGACGGAAGTCCCGAGAGATTTGATTGCGCGCGGAAAGCGGCCACATGTGTATGCTACGCCTTGTTGGTGTTGCATGCTATGCTACCAGAGATTGCGATGAAACCCGACGGTGTGTGTTTGTTTCATGCCCACGTCGCCGGTGGTTTGACTCGCTTTTTTTATTGTTTTTGTTCTTGGTCTGTTCGTAAAGGGCGGTGCAACCATTACCTGTCTGGTCGAGGGACAAAAAAAGAGAACCCTCCACGTTCTCCGTCCAGGCTTAGGAAGGGTTACTGGTAATGCGCACCCGTTGGCCTGCATGGAAAAACGTAACACCTCCCCCGCCCCCCCG